ATATATAAGAATATTTACTATTACATTCGCTTAGCGTACGACAATTTGTGTATGTTGACTTTATATGGGAATAACTTAAGTGCTGTGTCGCATAGTCTTTAAAAATGCACGTTGTTGTGCCAAAAGTTCACCGCTATGCAACATTTTACGGGCTTTTGTAATTGCGAACGAACAAATGCCATTATCGTGCAGAGAACAAGGTTGAAGTAATTAAATCATCAATTATAACGATATAATAAATAATAATTGTTCATAATTTTTATTTGAAGTAAAACTCTTTGCATTAACTTTCGTTTTAAATCACAGTAGTAAATTCTGTCTTTTTGAAAGAAATATCTTGTTTTCTTTCGTACAATAAAAGTGACAATTTTATGTGAAAATAATGTTGAATTCTTAATAATTTTACAGTTGAAATTAATTTTCTAATATTGCATACAAAGTTTTAAAAAAGTATATTTTCTGTAATTTTGTATGTATTAAAATTATCAATTACGTGCGTAGAACAATGCTCGTAAAAACGTAACAAATCGTGTATCTCTCACATAGTTTTTAAATAATTATATAATAATTTTTACGACTCCAACGAATTGTATGCTATGACGATGATAACAAAGAAAAGATTGCTGTATTTTTTGGATTAAACTTTTTTTTACTAAGATAAAATTTAGTTGGAGGTAGATTTTGAATACGATGACCTAGATTACTTTAAATATGTAGTGATTACATAATAATTTCGAGCAGGCCGACCTAACTGTTTAATAATATATTAATACTCATTTCAACTAAGGTTGAACTAAATATTCAAAATTGGTCTATAATTTCACAATAATCATTTTCTTTTTAAATTGTGATAATGTGTATTATTTGCTGTTATTTTTGTTCAATGAAAACAAATGAACAAATGCGCGTTGCAATTATGATTTGATCGTTCGTTTAACAACTTGCCAGATAATTTAATCATTCTGCCACGCGTGACAGGTGATGCAAACCCACATTGCGGAGATTACGGGAGAGAAATTAACAGAGAGTTGAACGAACTCGGTTAATCGTTGGAAAATGTACTTGTTTTAATATGTCATTAAAAGTTTTCATTTTTAATTTGCAATCAACGTTAATGCGCACTTAATATGTATCTCCTCTTCGCTGTATATTTGCATCGATGATTGTGCTTTCAAGGATATCGAAAAATGTTTTTGTTTTAATTTAAATATTCTTGTATTAAATTAATTTAAATTGCATTGTACAGTGTTAGTAACATTTGTTTAAAATTGAGTTTTTGATGTTTGACAGCTTATCAAAGTTAAGCAACATATTTTGACATTACTATTTGGATGGTTGTTAATGTACCCTTCACCAACTAGATTGATGAAATATTTGTTACTATACCGAATTGACTACATTTATTGGCATGTTTGCTCACTTTAGAAGAAAAATAGAATTTTTTATAGCTTACAAAAGTTAATAACACATTTTGGCATTACTAATTGGATGGTAGTTAAGATATCCTTCATCAAATTGTAGACATATTTGTTACTAGTCTTAATTGACAGTACAATTATTGATACGTCTGACCAATTTAGAAGAAAATCGTCTTTTTGATAGCTTAAAGTTAAGCAACATATTTTGACATTACTATTTCGATGGTTGCTAATATACCCTTCACCAACTAAGTTGAAGAAATATTTGTTACTATACCGAATTGACCTACATTTTTTTGGCACGTTTGCTCAATTTGGAAGAAAAATCGAATTTTTGATAGTTTACGAAAGTTATTAACATATTTTGGCATTACTAATTTGATGGTAGTTAAGATATCCATCATCAAATTGTTGACATATTTGTACTAGTCTTAATTGACAGTACAATTATTGATACGTGTGACCAATTTAGAAGAAAATCGTCTTTTTGGTAGCTTAAAGTTAAGCAATATATTTTGACATTACTATTTGGATAGTTGCTAAAATACCCTTCACCAACTAGGTTGATGAAATATTTGTTACTATACCGAATTTACACTACATTTATTGGCATGTTTGCTCAGTCTAGAAGAAAAATCGAATTTTTGATAGTTTACGAAAGTTATTAACATATTTTGGCATTACTAATTGGATGGTAGTTAAGAAATTCTTCATCAACCTAAATTGTAGACATATTTGTTACTAGTCTTAATTGACAGTACAATTGATAGCTTAAAGTTAAGCAACATATTTTGTCATTATTTGGATGGTTGCTCTTCATCAACTAGGTACAAATTTAAGAAATATTTGTCTCACTTGACACTATTTTTATTGACGCGTTTGGTCAGTTTAGAAAAAAAACGGTTTTTTTGACAGCTTACTAAAGTTAAGCAACATATTTTGACATTAATAATTGGATGGTTCCTAAAATATCCTTCACCAACTAGGTACAAATTTAAGAAATAATTATTACTGATCTGAATTGACACTACATTTATTGACACGTATTTATTTTTGACAACTAACCAAAGTTAAGCAACATATTTTGACATTACTAATTGCTAAGATATCCTTCACCAAATAGGTACAAATTGAAGAAATATTTGTTACTAGTCTGAATTGACAATACAGTTTTTGACACTTTTGGTCTGTTTAGAAGAAAATCATATTTATTTTTGACAACTAATTAAAGTTAAGCAACATATTTTGACATTACTAATTGCTAAGATACCCTTCACCAAATAGGTAGAAATTGAAGAAATATTTGTTATTAGTCTAAATTAACACTACATTTTTATGTTTAGAAGAATTTCATATTTATTTTTGATAGCTTACTAAAGTTAAGCAACATATTTTGACGTTACAAATTGGATGCTTGCTAAGATCTTAACCAATGCACATATAAAAATTCATTTTTTTAATACTTGATTGAATATAGACATAAATATGGAAGAAATCAAGTTGCGTGACTCAATTAAATTATAAATTCTCATATGTAATCTTATTAATATCGTATCGTAAATTTCAATTAACGTGCGCTCGTGTTACCGTTTGAAGTACAGGTAAAACGTAATTGAGTGGAAAGCAATGTTATGTCCGTATTTGTGTGTTTTATATTAGCAAAACTCGATTTAGTTGACTTTAACACGTAATAGTTTTCCTACTAAGTCTTGCGTGGATTTAATAACATTAATTATCTTTCTTAAATACGGACATGAGAATTTTTTAAAATTACATTTACAAACCAAATTATTGAAATACAATATAAATTGCAGTTAACGATTACAAAAATTGGGAATAAATAATTTTGTTGTTTAAAATATTGAAAAAATGCTTTAGTTATATTATATAATGTACGTATCCATGAATATTCACTTTTGTATAAACGTCAGGTTCGTTAGTGCGAATATACAAAAATATTTATTCAATAAATTATTTGGCTATTCAAAATAATGGAAAGTACTTTATTTACATAATGGAGTAAATTATTCCAGTTTAATGGTGATTTCAAAGTTTGTTATATATATAAATTATTGACCACATTTGTCCATCTTGGCTACTTTCCAAACCTAATACTTCTTTCCTACCAAATACACTTATGGTATCTTAATGGTAATGTGAGGAAATATTACAATAATAATATGATTTTATTAATCTACACAGAAACATAATTTTACGTTCAAAAATATTACTTCACAATTTTTGTAACTAAACAATTGTTTTCTCGACGTATATCTTTAAAAAATAATTGGAACCCGACATAGTGAAAATCCCGACATTATATTTTATATTAATTGTCGAGATTTTGATCAGAACCGAAGTAATAATTATATTTTTCATAATTTTTTCAGGTGTTTTGATTACTGGAGTCACCTTGATCACGGAAATGTGCGAGAACAGTCCGGACACGTTGAACCATTTCAAAAAAGTAAGTTGCGTTTCATCAATTTTCCCCGATACTTCTTTCGATTTCGATCAACTAAAATTAGTTTTTCGCAATGTGTAAATACTCTTTAACAATTTTTGTGTATCGTCTAGGTGACCAAAATACTTTATGTACATATCGTTGCCAGTATTGTTTATTTATTTACTTTTTTTGTGTTATTTCTTATCCCATCCGAACTGATCTAACGTTAGTGATTTTGTTTAGGACTGCTCTTTTCGTGAGGTACGCTCTTATTAATGTCTCTCATTTCGCTTTGTTTGAAAGCTTCTCGTACAAAAACCCAAAAAAAATATTATATAATAAGAAAGAAAACGTTTAGCGTAAATTTTACCACGAAATAATGAAATGAATTGTAAAGAAGCAATTGGGTGCTAATTGAACGGTTTATTTTATTTTCTACCAAAGTTGTCGTTAATTTGCTTTTATTTTCATGTCTCGTTTTTTTTTATTTAACTTTTTATTAGCGAAGCGTGTCGACTCGTTTGTTTATACTGAAATGTGTAATACGAACCAACTAAAATAAACTTTCGAAATGACATTGCGTTAACAGCGTTAAACAATTAACGAAACGCAATTCGCTTCGATCCAATTGAATTGATCCGATGCTTTTGGCGTCACCGATATTCATTCATTATTTCGTGATTGGTTTTGGTTTGGACGTTCCTCTTTGAGTGTTTTGATTATTTAACAAACGAATATATACAGGGTGTCTCACATATAATTATTGAATGAATTACACATTGATAATCGCAGTAATGTAATTTGATTGAATGTTTCCAACATAGATCAATACCAAAAATAAAATGCAGTGGAACCTCGCTTAACGAGTTTAATCCGTTCCAAAATTTCCGGATATTTACTTGTATAGTGAAACATATTCAAAAATACACATAATATTTATACACAAGTTTTAAAAATGATGTAGCATGCGCCCAATCCTGGACTTCTCTTCCCATCGTCACTCGTTATGAGAAACGTCGCTCGTTAAGCGAGTAATTTTTCTTACAATTTATTTTGCTCGTTCAGCGAAATGCTCGTTAAGCGAGGTTCCACAGTATTAAGTTTAGAATCATTGATCGATTATAGAATTGTGGCTGTAAAATGCACAAGGAAAGTATTTTCATGTTGTCTTTTAATAAAATCATTGATTTTATACCACTTACATTAATTCTAGACTTTCCAAATTGGTATAGAAAAAAAATACTTGTGACATCCTGTATATATATACTAAGCACTTGAAGGTATAAAAGAAAACAGCGAAGAAATCATAATTGTGCTGAAATCATGATCATATCTAAATCGAAATGAAAGGAAGTGGAGTGTTTGGGTTTCATTTGCTTCTCCAACTAAATGTTGATGTTTTATTTATTTATTTTTGATCCAGATGAAGTTGTGTGTTCGAAATCATTCATGGAGCTTCTGTTTTTTTTTATTACTTGAAACCATCATCTACTATGTTTTTATTTCTCTCTTTCGGATTGTTGTTTTTAATGCTACTGTTTTGCAGATCGTTCCGAATCTGGTTCGCATCCTGAAGAATCTTATATTGGCCGGGTATTCCCCAGAGCACGACGTTTCCGGTGTCAGCGATCCGTTTTTACAGGTAATATTGAAGAATCTTACCGTGTTTTATTACTATAATTATTTGGTTTTAGGTAAAAATTTTGAAATTGTTGCGAGTTTTGGGTAAGAACGATGTGGACGCATCCGAAGCGATGAACGATATCCTTGCTCAAGTGGCTACGAACACGGAGACTAGCAAGAACGTCGGCAACACTATCCTATACGAAACGGTCCTCTCCATCATGGACATCAAGTCCGAGGGCGGCTTGAGAGTATTAGCTGTTAACATTCTAGGTAGATTTCTGTTGAATAATGATAAGAACATCCGTTACGTGGCTCTGAACACGCTGCTGAGAACCGTGCACGTGGATACATCGGCCGTGCAGAGGCACAGATCGACTATCCTCGAGTGTCTGAAGGATCCGGACGTGTCTATTCGAAAACGCGCCATGGAACTTTCATTCGCTTTGATCAATACCCAGAACATCAGGACGATGATGAAGGAACTGTTGACGTTCCTGGAGAAGGCAGATCCCGAGTTCAAGGCGCAGTGCTCCTCGAACATCGTCCTCTCCGCCGAACGTTACTCACCTAATAAGAAATGGCATCTGGACACGTTGCTCAAAGTACTAGTTGCTGTAAGTATATAACACCTATCAATTCCTATTACTTTTACTAAATGTGAGCTTCTTTAGGCTGGAAACTACGTGCGCGATGATGTTATTACGTGCACGATACAGCTGATTTCCGAGACCACCTCGCAGCAGGCCTACATTACCTTGCAGCTGTGGAAGGCCCTTTCGGAGGATGTGACCGACAAGCAGCCGCTGATCTCTGTTGCCACGTGGGCCATCGGTGAATTTGGGGATCTGCTCTTATCCGCCTCCGTGGAAGACACCAGTGACGTTGTGAAACCCTCAGAGGATGAGGTCATCGATTTGTACCAGAAACTGCTGTGGTCGCCACAAAACAACACCGTCACCAAGCAGTACACACTCACTTCATTGACGAAACTCAGCACAAGATTCACTTCGACCAAGTAAGTATTAAATTCTTATTCCAATAAAAAAGTGTGTCTGTAATGCGTCTATTGTCAGACTTAATCTCATGCATCAATAGGATCTATATAAATTTTGATATTCTCGGGATTCTCAGTGTTGGGATTTTGATCTAAACCGTATCAATATGTTACTTAATTCTAATTGTGTTTTTTGCAGTAAAATTCAACAAATCGTCAGCACGTTTTCATCGAGCTTAAACATTGAACTGCAGCAAAGGGGCGTGGAATTCTCGCAGCTCTTCGGAAAGCACGAAAGCTTGAGGTCCGCCCTCCTGGAACGAATGCCTCCGATGGAGCTGAACCGTCAGACCGACGATGAGATGCAGACGAACGGAGAATCAGACATGCACGAAATGAAACTGGACGACAGTCCGCAGCATAGGAATACGGAATCTGTAAGTCAAGTCTTAAACCTCTTACGATTTAAAGGTTTTATATTCATAATATTTGCAGAATGCTCTTCTGGATCTGCTGGGAAGCGATAGCAGCGACCTGGATATCATCAAACCGAACAATCCGATGCCCACGCAACCTGTATCTAATAGCAATAATCAGGATCTGCTGGATTTGCTGGGAGGTCTGGACACGCTGTCCGTAACCCCTATGACCAACGATACCACCAACACGGGTATAGGCTTAATACTGGAAAACAACAATCCTATTCAAATGCCAATCACGAATAACTCAAATTTCTTGACCGGCGATTTCTTGAGCACGAACATCCTCAGTGGTTAGTATTTGTAATGGTAATCAGAATCTAATTTGCTAAAATTTCGATTAATTTTAAAGTAGAACAAGACTTGCCCACTCTTAATGCTTTCGACAAGGACGGTCTGAAGATAATGTTCGCATTAGAAAAGATGGATAACAATACGGTTTCGATCAACGTGACTGCGACCAACAACACGTTATCGAATATGTCCGAGTTTCTGTTCCAAGCTGCTGTTCCTAAAGTAAGTTTATATCCGTATTTATAATATTTACATTCTTACTTTTGACACCACGTTTTTATTGTATTTGACAACTACTTGATACTTGACAAGTATCATGACAAGTATTGTAACTATTACTTTTTACAAAAGCAATGTTTTTTTACGTTTTATTGTATTTGATAAGTATCTGGTAGTATTGGATACATGACAACTAAAGAGTAGGAGTCATTATTGTTCATGTTAATGCAAATATTTACCTCTATTTTTCTTCTTCGATTTTCAGTCATTCCAATTACAAATGTTATCTCCCTCTGGCACGGTGATCTTACCTAACGGCGTGGTGACGCAAGTACTGAGGGTCGTGAACCCCTCGAAAGTAAGTGAACAATTCATACAAGCAGATCTAAAAATTAACAACCATTCTTTAATTTATCAAAAAAACAGAGCATGTTGCGGATGAGACTGCGAATTTCCTATTCCATTGATGGTAACCAGGTGCAAGAGCAGACCGAGGTGAATACCTTCCCCACGGACATCTGGGATTGACGAATGCTTGGCTAAATGGACGAAGAAGGGAAGTGAAGGGCGGGCGTCGAGGTGAGAGATCGGGCGGGTCATTTGAAAAAAAAAAAGGTTTTTTTATATACATATATATATATATACATATTCCTTTATTTCGAGTTAATTTAAATTTTTAATTTCCGATGCAAAAGCAAATGTTTGTTAATAATAAGAGTATAAGAGCAAAATACGGATTCACCTAAATTCACTATAAGTCTATAAACAAGTCTGTACATTTCGATACCGACACAAAAAGAAATATCTATATATATATATTTTTTTTGTTCTTGTTGATTTTTATTTTTCTCTCCAATCGTTAGATTTAGTTGAATTTTCGTTTAGTGAGACACCGTGTATATATATATAATAACATTTATTTGTTTTTTTTTGTTTAACTACTTTTTGTTAGTACTTAATTAATTTTTAAAGGGCCCAAAAATAATGTTGTCTTTTTATTTTTTAAATCCGATACGCGATAAAAAAAAACACTGAAAAAGTATTTATATATATTTCGTATATTATTATTATTTCCTTGTTAGTTATTATTCTACATATATATTATTATTTTCTTTCTTTTGGGAAACAAACGTTCTGCGTTGTATATCTTTATGTACGCGCGTTCGTATCATAAAGATACTTTGTGAATGCAGATTGTCTTATATTATACTTTGATTCGATATCTTTGCTTGTTACATTTATATTTATCATGTTATTTACGTCCATATTAGAATAATTAATTAATAAACATGTAAATAATATGCATTTCTTAATCCCGTTTTATTCTTTACAGTTTGTTACGTACGGTGATTTTTATGCAATTTACTTATTTCAATCATAGTTATGCATGTTTATGGAAACGCGCACACTGCCGTCACGTGAACTGTGCTTTCGGTTGCATAAACGTGCGTGAGAAAGCAAATTGATTTCCGTCCTAAATGATACAAATTGTTAGAATTATTTCTTTATAGATTTCCTTAATGGGTCTAATTTCATATTGTTTCTAATCTGTTGGAAATTGGTGAATCAATGAATTAAATTGTATTTTTTTAAATGAAACTGGTGGGTGCATTAGGTAATTTTTTGTAATAAATTACAAGTAAATGAAACTATAGTGTTTATTAATTAAAGGACTTAAATTAGGATATTTCACTTATTATTATCATCGCGAATTTTGAAGTATATGCGTTTTGCGAATAATTACAACGATGAATCTGAATGCAGTCGAAATCAGTGATTGGTGACGGCGTTGGTGCAGTTGCCGTTGAACAGTCTATCCTTGATCATCTGAGCCATCAATCCGTGGATGATCTCGATGGTAGTCTTGCAACTGTCCTTGGTTGCCTTGAGCAGCTTGTCTTCGCTTCTCTTCTCATGGGGATCGGTGCCACCTACCATAAAACCTCCTCTACCTAGTTAATAATGCATTACATGGCATGTGTTAATGGACGATGGTGATGATAGGATATTTTACCTAGAGACGCTTCTGATTGCTCCAGTTTCTCTGACAGATCGAATATCTGACCGGTTGTGTAGTCCGCGTTGGTCAGAAGACTGGACGAGCTTAGAGTATTCACCCAGTATTTGTTCCACAAGGAATCCAGAAGCCTCCGATCCAGAGCGGACTTGAAATAGGTCACCTCCAATGAATAGTACTGCTTGCAGTGCACGCCGAAATCTTCGATTTTGTTCAGCGGAATAGTTTGATACTCTGACGGTTCTTCATTTTGACATTTGTAACCCTGAAAAAGTAAAAAAAAATGATTAGAATCATTTAATTATTGGAAAAGTGTAGTTCAATACCTTTGGGTATGTTCTGAAAGCTCCTAGGCAAACTTTGCCAGAGGAAATAGTGCGGACTGGATCAATAACAATAGCAACAAAAGGCTCTTGGTAGCTCTGATTGGTCATTTGAGTGGAGACATCAATACCAGACAACCAGCATCCGTATCCTGGATGACTGTGATACCATCCAATAGCATTCTCCTCCCTTCCAACCTGTCAATTTAAAACAATTTAATTATGAAGAAAATGCACAAAATCCAATGAATAATTACCAATTTAGCTGAGGTGATGTATGAGCTCATATACTCGTAAGCTTGAGCCTGAGCATTCACCCTGGTCTCTGTACCCTCCACTGGCAGAGCAAAAGAATCCATGACAAACATAGTGTTGCCATCCACCTTACCCAGCAGCAGACCCATTACTTCCAAAGTACCACCGGATCTGGCATGCATGACCATCTTGAGCAGAGCCAAAGCTGAGATCCTGATATCCTTAAAGAAGTTCGGGCTACAAAAAAAAAGGCAAGTTAATAAAATCATGATCAATATATATACTGTGTAAGCATGACATACTCTTTTTCCCACGGTTTAGCCATCAGAATGTCCTGCTGCTGCTGCTTATCGAATCTGTAGATTTCATCAACAGTGTTCGCAGTCTCCACATTGTTGCAGAGCTCCCAAGTCTTCTGAGCGATGGTCGCTTGGGAATCCGTGCTGGTTCCTGGCTGCGACATCTTCGAAAGGAAACACTAGATCAGGATTGAAATAAATAATCGACGTTAACCAAATATCATCCAAGATTCTAATGTTTTTCTTGATTGTCAAAACCGGTTCGTTGATGGCCGCTGCTACCAACCACAAGAAAGCTCAACTTTAAGCCAATTGATGCATTTTACCAGGCATACCAAAGTTAAATATTATTTTTTTTTTGGAGCTTACTTGTAACTTAACGGCAACTTTAAATGTATCTTTAAATCGGAATTGATTCTTAAACTAGGTGTTAAACGGATTGCATATATCAATGCATGTTTTTAGTATTCTCAGATTGGTCTGCCTGTTTAATTTGAATGTATTTGAAAATTTGTTGAGGCGCGTTTTATAAATGTTGACACGTTGTGCGTGATGCGAAAAATGCCAATGAAATCAAATTAGATCCATAATTCGTCTGCCTGTTCGATTTATTCGCGCTGACGCTTCGCATTCCTCCCCAAACGCAGGTACGACTTTCATTTATCATATCGCTTTGCTATCTGTATTCAGTACGTTGCGTGCCTTTGCAGAGTGAGCAGCTATGGAAGCCCTATCCAACCTGCTGCAGCCCTACAAGGAGGAGGTCGGTGTCACGGCCAGCGTCGTCACCATCCTGCAGTTCTTCTCAGGCACCTTCATCTGCTATGACATCTACAAGAGGAAGAGCACCAATGGTATCGGAGCCCTGCCTTTCATTGGAGGTGTGGTAATGTATGTTGCTCGAAATACATTCAACCCAGAATCCCTTGGACAAAGTCAAGGACATTGCTTTCTCTATTATGCACATACACACATCAGTGATTCTAATTAATTTGACTTGTCCTTGAGATAGGCATGCAAAATATACACAAGTTTTTGAATCTTATCTCACTGTCATTGAATAATCTTATAAGAATCACATAAAAACACTTAAATCTATTATTTACAAATTACAGTACAAATTCATCATCTAAGAGAAAAAAAACATATATCAACCAATCAATCAACATAAAGTTGTAACAGTAAACTTTACTTTTTTTAATTATCACTTAAACTAAGCATATTAATTACTTATAAACAGTAAATGCGCAATTAACCATAAATTGAAAGATTATTATAGTTGCAAACAAAAAAATATTCAGATATGCGTATAATTGTTGAAAACAAGATAAGCATTTTTTTTTAAAAACTTATATAGCAATTTTTTTCGGTGTTTACGTAAGGTTATAGCTTACGTTCGTGTTGAAACCTGGATTGTTTTATAATAAGGCTATGTGGAAAGTTTTAATGTTTTGCTTCTACTTTATTTTTTGTTGTTATTAATTAGAGACACGATGTGGAATTTAAGGTTGAAGCATTTATTGAAGTCAATTTGTGATAATCAAACGTTTCCTTTTATTCAATTCCATCGTTGATATTACGCAAGAAAAATACGACAATAGCATAAGATATTTCTGTTGCTGGAATAGTAGAAATCCGGTTTTGTGATGAAATTAATGAAATCTGTATTTTTTAAAAAAAAAGCATGAATGGTTACGTGCCTTTTAGTACGTAGACAAATCTCGTATTGTTATTAATGAATGAAATATAGTAGGCACTGTAAATGATGGTGTATAAGATACATTAATTAAATGATTGATATTTGACAGCTTATCAAAGTTAAGCAGCGTTTGTTGGGGATATTTCTTGGATGGATTCAACTCTTAAGCCAAATATGTTTTATTTTTAGTAAATTATCAAATTTTTAGTACACACTAGATATTATGAACATTTAACTTTAACTCTTTCAGGGGTACACGCATTGTACCACCTTTTTAATTGTATCTTAATTTTCTAGAAAATGTCCAGGAAAGAGGAATTAACACCTTCTAATTAACAAATTCATTAAAACTATGCATTGATTTTTTATGCATATCAATTTTTTTTGTCTTGCACCACTTGGTGCTAAAAGTAAATTTATCATTTTATTCATTGATTTCAATTAGTAGTATTATTTGAGATTTAATTAAATTGCAATGGTAATATCTTCAATTTCTCTTTTGAGGAAACACACTTATTGTATAAATATAATTGACAACTTGGACAAGTACTTGTGACATTTCTATCAAACCTAAAGTTTGTATACAACTTTTGGTTAGTAAACTTAATTTTAATTCTTTTTCATTTTTCTCTTAATTGATGTTGCAGTGGGATTTTGGTGTTGAAATTCTCGATGATTCTGCAGGATAAGAACATGTTCAATGTGAACGTGGCTGCAATCCTTCTGAACACCATCTACCTGGCGTTCTATATCTTCTACTCGAAGAACAAGATGGAAGAGGTGTTTCGACCCTGTCTCAAGGGTTCCGCTCTGATCGTAGTTCTCCTCTCTTACGTCGCCTACGAAGACCCCAATAACTTGGAATACAGATACGGTCTCATCGTCACCGTCCTCATGCTTCTATTGATGGGAAGCCCTCTGATAGAAATCGTAAGAGATGATTCTTCTACTCAATGAACTCAATTTTATTTTCAAATTTGTTGTTTTGCTTTAATTCAAAACAGAAATCCATGATCAAGAACGAAGATGCCTCCGCCATTCCCTTTCCCTTGACGCTGATGGGAACCATCGTTTCCTTCCTGTGGCTGCTGTACGGAATAATTTTACTTAACAGCTTTATGGTTGTAAGTATCTGAAATTGCAATGCAATATTCAAATTTCGTTACTAATTCCTAGAAAGTTGGTGCAACTTTGCAAATTTCTTATAATTGCGTAAGATGAAGCAGACTAGTAACTACATGTAGTTAGTTGATCGATAAGTACTTGACTAAGTATTGCCAAGTAACGTAAGATGAACTGGACAAGTAACTACATACTGTTAGTTGATCTATAAGTACTTGACTAAGTATTGCCAAATAACGTAAGGTGAACGGGACAAGTAACTATATACAGTTAGTTGATCAATAAGTATTTAACTAAGTATTGCCAAGTAACGTAATGTGAATGGGACAAGTAACTGCA